GTAGAACGGAACGATTATATAAGCCAAATAACAACAAATAGAGTAGTAAAGACGGCAAGAGAGGTTCCTCAATAGGCCGACGATGAGTAGGACGACCACGAAAGCGATGGAACGACAAGTTACTTGAGGTACATTGAAAACAGACAGAGTTATGACTACATAAAAAGATGATGATGAACAAAACGAAGAAGAACACTTAACAATCAAATAAAAGATTATAACAAAAGTATGAAAAGAAGTACAAATGCCTGAAGAATGAAAATGTTCTTGCCGCATGATCTTACCAATAATTCCAGAGGATGTAATAACGATGTCAACGAGAAGTTATTATGCACGAATCTTTTTTCAGAAACCGTCTGTTAAAATAAAAAAGTCTTTAAAAGTAAAACTTTAAACACCTTAGAAGTCGCTATCTAGCAAGAAAAACAAAGATCACCATAAACTCAAACTGAATGATATACGGATATGAGATATCGAAAAATCCTCTTAACAATACTGGGCCCAGACAATGAGAATAGAACCTGGCGTGATCTAGATGACTGGGAGCTAGACAATAAGTACAAAAGAACAGCTTGCAGCAGTACCTCCAGACAAAGTAAGTAAAAGTCACCCTACCCAATGTTTACTATTGACGATGTAAACAGAGACTAGACGAAGAGGTAGTAAGGTTGAGATAGAGATGGTGTGAGGAAGGTGGCATGAGGATACCAGAAAGATCAGTGTTCACATCTAAAATCAACCTCAAGGAAGAAGACAAATTGGAAGAATAAGCTTGGGAAAGTCGGAGCTCCACTTGGAAGACGCTCTTTTCTCTCAGCGGTGAGACAATATTTTCTGTCTTTATTGCCAGGCTCTCTCTTCTTGATTCGCGTATGTTACAGGACAAGTGAAATTGAGCCATCTGTACCAAGGATTACGTAATAAACATTAATAATCCATATTTTTAATATGTAAACTGTAGCATCCACTTTAAACAGTATTTAAACTATATTACTGTTTTTTGAACTGTTGGAATTATAATTTTAGTATTTGCCAACTTTTCGAAACCATCAAGAAAAGGAAAACGGCGTATCTAGGTCACATCATGCGAAATGAAAAATACCAGTTCCTCCAACTTATAATCGAGGGTAAAATTGAAGGCAAGAGAGGAATGGGACGCAAGAAAATGTCCTGGCTCCGAAACATAAGGCAATGGACAGGGATTAACGACATACAATCTCTGATACATATTGCAAGAAATAGAGAGTTAATGGAAAATGTGATCGCTAACATCCATTAGTGGATTTGCATCTGAAGAAGAAGAATTTGTAAAATTATTAGGATCAGTTTGTACGACATAATTCTTAATTTGAATATATACCATGCGGTTCATATGTATGTGATAAATTCATTTTTACTGTTATTATGTACTACGTGAAAAAAATCTGAAACAAGTCGATTTTTATTCTTAAATTGACAATTTAAGCGTGCGGCACCTTGTTAGAAAGGAATTTTAGTCCTCTATTCAGCAATATAAAGTTTTTTGAGTTTTTGCAACCATAACTGAGAAAATTGATTTTTACAATTAAATTAAAATGTTTAACTTGACCACCATTATTTACTTCTTGACAATAACCGAGGCGATTTTGGAATTCTCCTACAACATTTTGTATAACCTCGGGGGTTATTTGTTAATTTCTTCCGTTATCCTAACTTTTAATATAGCAGCAATATTGCCTGGTCTATTAAAATATACTTTAGAAATAATCAGGTATTTTCGTATCTGGTTTGCTAAACGTTAAGGAAAATACTTTAAAGTAAAGATAATAAAATATTAGTCAAAAAGCCAAATAAACAATTGATATGAATCTAGTAGGCTGCTGTCATTTAGGTATTTAAAGTTACTAAAAGACGTATAGTATTTGTGCGCCTATAATATTTAATTATGGCTCATGTATCCGAGACTCAAAGAATACACATTTTATTAATGATCGGTTGTAGTAATAAAACAAGAACTCAAAAGGAGGTTTGTGAAATGTTTAATAATAAATACCCTGCTCAACAAGTTTCGCAGTCTACAGTTAGCAAAATTTGGACATGAATATCTCTCTCTCTCTCTCTCTCTCTCTCTCTTCAATCTTGACCCCCCAGGGGGAGTGTAGTGGTCGACGTGATGTCGTGTATTGTCCGTCTCCAGAGATCTCTGTCTCTGGTCATTTCTTTTAATTCATGCATAGGTCTTTGGCATATTCCTGTAATTTGATCTATCCATCTTGTTGGGGATCTTCCTCGTGATCTTCGGTCTTCTACCTTTACTTGTATTATAAGTCTTTTCATGTTTTCTGTGTTTGCTCTCATAACATGCCCAAAATATTTTAATCGTTGGAGATGGACTTTACTAGAGAGTCGTTGGCTAACTTTTAGCTCTCTTAAAATTGAATTATTTGTTCTACGGTAGGTCCAAGGAATTCGTAACATTCGTCTCCAACAGAACATTTCAGTGGCGTCTATCTTTCTTCTCTCCGATTGTCTCAGAGTCCAAGATTCACATCCGTAGGTCAGTATTGGGAATATTAAGCAGTTGATCAACCTCATCTTTATCGCTCTTGAAATTTGACAGTCCTTCCATATTTTGGTCATTTTTGCTGTGGCAACATTTGCTAGATCACATCTACGTTTAATCTCTTCTTGTAATGACCCTGTGTTTGTGATTAATGATCCCAGATATAAGTATGAGCTCACAACCTCGAACCGGTCAATTGTGGTTATGTGTGGGTGATTGTTGTGTAGTCTATCCACTATCATTATCTTTGTCTTTGATATGTTTAATTGCAGACCAAATATTTGACTTTCGTTTTCGATCAGTCGTATAAGTTCCATCAGCTCTGCTTGACTATTTGCAAGAAGGGCTGTGTCATCTGCGAAACGTAGGTTGTTTAGTTTATGACCATTTATTCAGATGCCCTTTTCCCATCCTTCAAGTGCTCTTCGCATAATATACTCCCCATATATTTTGAATAATTGTGGATATAGTATACATCCTTGTCTGACACCCCGTTCTGGATGAAACTCGTTCGAAAGTGTGTCAAGTACTTTAACTGATCCAGTAGTGTGTTCATATAGTTCAGTTATAAGCTTAATTAGATGTTGTGGTACGCCTACTTCTTTTAGTATTCGCCATAAGGGCCTCCACTTGACCCTGTCGAACGCTTTACGGTAATCTATAAAACAGATGTATAGTGGGATGTTAAATTCCCTAGATTTCTCGATTATCTGTCTTATATTCAGGTGTTCTCGAGTGCCTCTACCTTTGGTAAATCCAGTTTGCTCTTGTGGAATTTCTCTTTGAAGGAATGTTTTCAGTCTCTCATTGATTATATGTAGCATTATCTTGCTGGCATGGGATATAAGAGAGATAGTTCTATAATTGTCGCATTTATGGAAGCTGCCTTTTTTATGTATGGTCGTTATTGTAGATTTTGTCCAGTCTTCAGGCTATGGAATGCCATATTTGGTTACAGAGTAGATGAAGTAACTTTACGCCGGTTTCTTCTGTGGCTTTAAGCATTTCTGCTGATATCATATCTGGACCTGGCGTTTTGTTATATTTGAGCTTGTTGATAGCCTGTCTTACTTCATTTTCGAGTATATCAGGTTCTTCTTCCACCTCGTCAGAGATTTGGCTAAGAAGCTCTTGGCGTTGATCATCTTTATATAGGTCCCTGCAATACGATCTCCATGTCTCTGCTATGTCTTCTCTGTTTGTTCTCAGGGTTCCAGTGTTATCTTCAATGGCCCAAGTTCTGGCTCTGAAGTCTCTTGTCAGGTAGCGTATTTTTCTAAATAGATCTCTCGGCTGATTATTCTGACCATGTCTCTCAATTTCTTTGCATATACTTTGATAGTATTGTTTTTTGTCGGCCTTACATCTTCGTTTTATTTCTTTATTGAGGTTTCTTAAACTAGCTTTTTCCCTTTCACTATGTACACCACTTTTACAAAGATTTCTTCTATTCTCAATTATTTTAAGAGTTTCATCTGTTATCCAGTGTTTCCGTTTCACCGGATTATTTTTCTTTGAGCGATCCACTGGTGTTGTTACGCAATGTTTAACAGTCTCCCATATTTCTTGTGATGTTCCGTTACGAATAGAGGGCATACTTTTCTGTACTTCCTGTAGAAGGTCGTCTTTCTTTCTTAGTTCTATCCTCTTTATCTCTCTTTGTTTGTTGGGTGCTTTAAGTTTAAGCTTTATTTTAGCTGCTACTTTAACTACATGCGTCTACATGAATATATAGACGAAAAAATTGAAAAACCAGGTAGATATGTTAAATTTACTGATGAACAAAAGTTAGATGTTTTTTTAGAGACTGAGGAAAATCCGCATAAGACAACTCAAGAACTTGTCGCCGTCAATGATATAAGTAAATCCTCTATTTTGAGTTTTGTCTAAAGAAAAATATCACCCTCAGAAAGTTCAGTTTCATTTCAGAAATGATAATGGACAGAATGAACGCAGATTTGCAGTTCATAAACAAGATACGTTTTTTTTCTGATGAAGCGACGTTTCATTTGAACGGAACGGTTAACAAACAGAACTGTAAATATTGTTGATAGAGAAAATCCTCACTGGATATGTGAGACTCATACGTAATATCCTAAAAAAGTTCGTGTTTGAGCTGGATCATTAACAATAAAATTATTGGTACTTATTTTTTTGAGGGAATTTTTTCTACTAACAAGACGGAGCTCAGGTTTCTTGATAACCTGAGCTTCGAAAAAACTGTTTCAGGTTTTTTCACATGGTACATAATAACACTAAAAGTTAATTTATTCCATACATATGGACCGCATGGTATAATGGGGCTAATGTACTGTATGTACTGTGAATATAGCATTAGGCAAAGATATTTCGAAACTACAAATATAAATAAAAAAAATACATATTCTTAATTTATTACTAAAGTAGATTAAAAATGAATTAAAGTAAAATTCTAATAATTTAATATTAATCAACTTACATTTGAAATTGTGGAAGAGTCGTAGCAGGCAGAAGGAGCGCTAAATCCAGCAGCTTAGCCGTTGCCAACTGCAACCGCAGCCAATGAGGGTGCCCTAATGCGTGGAGTCCATTGCTACTGTTGGTTGCCCAGCTTGCATCAAGAGAAGACATTAATTTTATATGAGAGCTAAAGAGAAACGCAAAAGAAAACAAAACGTTACTAGAAAAAAGAATCAAACTAAAGGTGAAAGAATTCAAACAAAAACAAAAAATAAATAAATAAAATAGATAATAATATTAAGTTAGTTCCAAAGATTAAAATTAAGTTTGACATATACCATTATTTTATTCTATATAGGTATAAAATACGATACTTAATACAGTTTTAAAACTGTTAAATTATTTAATTAAATAAAAGAAAATTTTCATAATATGGCATTGTTTGTACCTTTCTTTAAAGGTCACTACATGAAGTACATATGAGCTGTTTCAATACACTACCCAAAAACACTTCCTAGTTAATAAGTAAGTAACCCCCGTGAGTTATAGTCACCTATAACTTACGTGCAGTTAATTACTTTAATATCAGTATAAAATGATATGCAAAGAATATACAAACACAAATATTAACACCTCGTCTAATTTGCCATCGTGATAAACGTAGTTCAACCTTTTGGTGACATTATATACGCCTTGCAGAAGAAGACGGAATGGGAAACATCGGCATTCGTATATCGGTAATTAATACATAACCTTTCAGTAGGTAAATGTAATCTTTCAGAAAAATTTTCTGTAGTTTAAATGTATTTAAGACAGTAAAGGTACTAAGAGCACAATTTGGCATGTCTTCGTATTTAAAAGGGTAAACACCAGCTTTCAACCTCATCTGATATCATAAGGCAAGCCAAGATGTACACAAACATAAATATGAAAACCAACAAGACGTCTCTAGAAATTTTCCCGCCTACGTGGATATCGTACCAAGGTGCCATCTATTTTGATGGCCATGAACGAAAAGTATTGATTATCGTTTTGGGTCCTTTGCCACTAAACGAAATTTGGGTATTTCAACGTCAACTATGCAAGTTAGTCAGGCGACCACTCTCGATTTGGCTTAAATATTACAGGTCTATACTACAAAATATTATGATTTACCAAATTTCAACCTTCTAGGTACAAAATAGCAGTCTACAGAATGTCCCAAGATGTTTTTAGCAGCCTAAAATTCGGTAGTAATAAATATTTTTATTTGAAAATTGGGAAATCTCAATTGGACCTACAATACTATCAATTGATGTATACATGAGATTTGCACCGTCATCACGAACGCTGTACACGTCACTAATGGAAAAAATTAAATGTATCAGAGAGTAAAGGTTAGGTTAGATGAAAGGTTTTTTTATCCCAAATTCAATGGTGTACCACAATGTGGGTATTAATGTAAATCTTCTTCTTATAGTGCCTATTCGTTTCGGAAGTAAAGCTCATTTTCACAGATTCAAGATTTAACAGAGCTAGTTATTAGATGTCTCCATAATAGCCAGATCCCTAAAGACTGGAACGAGAGTCTAGTAATACTCTTACACAAAAAAGGGGACAAATGTGATCTACAGAATTATAGACCTATATCGTTGCTCAGTCAAGTATACAAACTATTTATGAGAATTATTAATAACCGGTTAACCTACAAAATGGATAATTACCAACCGGTTGAACAGGCTGGCTTCCGCAAAGGATATAGTACATCAGACCATCTGCTGACAATGAGAACATTGATAGAGAAGGCCAATGAATACCAACTACCCGTATTTCTTGCCTTCGTCGACTATAAAAAGGCGTTTAATAGTATTGAGATGTGGGCCATAGAACAAGCTATTAATAATTGTAGAATAGACTCGAGATATAGGCAACTAATACATAATATATATGAAAAGGCAACTATGATAGTACAACTAGATGAAAATACAAATCCCATCCCCACTAAGAGAGGAGTGAGACAAGGAGACGTAATATCGCCAAAGCTTTTCAACCTAGCCCTAGAAGACGTCTTCAAAACTACAAATTGGTCAACCTATGGCATTAATAACGTTAATGGCAACAAGTTAAACCACCTCAGATTCGCTGTCGACATAGTGATTATAGCGAGCACATTCGAGGAACTGCAAATTATGTTGGGGGAACTAGCAGCCAGCTCCCAATACCTCGGCCTAAAAATAAATATGAAAAAAAAACAAAAATAATGACAAACACAGAAGACCCCAGACATATAACTATAAACGGCAGTGTGATAGAACAAATCCAGGAATATATCTACCTAGGCCAAATCCTGAGACTTGACAAAGAGAGCCAAAGTGCATAAATTACTAGAAGAGCAAGACTAGCATGGGCAGGATTTGGAAAACTTAGTTGGATACTTAAGAACCGCAAAATACCCCAATACTTGAGGAGCAAAGTGTTCAACCAGTGCATCCTTCCTATCATGACATATGGATGTCAAACCTGGACCCTAACCAAGGCAAACATGAATAAACTAGCCACAACAGAAAGAACAATGGAAAGAGCAATGTTAGGTATACGACTGTCAGATAAAAAGAGGAACGACTGGGTAAGATCCAAAACAAAAGTCGAGGACATAACAATAAAAATTGCAAAACTTAAATGGAGCTTCGCGGGCCACACTGCTAGACAGAAAGGCCAACGTTGGAATACTACAATACAACATTGGAGACCTTACGAAAGTAAACGACCAAGAGGAAGACCACAGATGAGATGGGTTGATGACATTAAAAGAATAGCCGGAACAAATTGGAAATATGTTGCTCAGGATAGAGACCGATGGAAGGAGTTGGGAGAGGCCAATGTCCAAACATGGACGACAGAAGGCTAAGAAGAAGAAGAAGAAGGTGAGTATAACAAGACAAGTATTACGCTACTGCTGTCTGAAAGAAACGATACAGATCAACAAATATATGAAAAAATTGTTCTTTGCATCAATTAACCTCAAAAAAAACAGTTAATCTGGTATACCAAAGTAACACGTTGCAAAAGCCATCACCAGGTGGTGTCAGTGGTGACTTTTGCAATAAATTCCAGTTACTTACATATACTATGGTAATCATATATTTTTTACCTTTAAAATGACCTTTGATATAAAATATAACAATATTATAAATGGTTAATAAAGTATATGTCAAACTTAACCTCATTACCTCTAATATGATTAAGCTACTAGGCATGTCAATCACTAATAAGGTTTATCAACTTCAATGCAAAATACCAAAACCTTTACACAAAGCCCAAAAATTGAAAGGCTGACATTGACGCTTATGCCGGGTAGTCACATAGTAAGCTTTACAGGTATAGTCCAAGAAGTGCCCCAATTAACAGAAGAAAGAACGGAAAATGTGTAAATTGGCTATTTTTAAGTCTTCGTAATATATTTTCGTAACGGTGTTTTGACGTTTAAAAATAGAAAATAATAGGAATCGTCACCTGTGTAAATTGTCGTTAATTTTTTTCATTGAAATGTTTCAAAAGGTGCGAATAGTTGCTATTTTTTTATTTTAACATATAACTAAGGCCGATAAAGTTGCCGACACCGTTATGATCATTGCCGAACATTCAATATTTTTCAAAACTGTCGGTGATTGGCTACGATACTACACAGTATAACAGTTTCAAGTTATTTTCTCTTTCCATGTGTCACATTTTGCCTGATTTACTCATTAAAAACGTAAAACTATGAAAAGCTATAAATGAAAAGTTCGGTTTATAGTTGGATCTTTTCTATGGTGATTTAAATGTTACTCAAATAAAAGGCAGATATCCAGCACAGTTTTTTATTAAATCTTGTCCAAGTACTTATGGTAACAGAGCATCTTCAGGAGCATGAAATAAGCCAAGAAACGTTTTTTTAAGTGACGGAAAATTAACTAACTTACGAATAACTAATTGACGAAAAAACTCGAAATTGGTGGTTGATAAAAAATGCTTCCCATATTAGTGGTCAGTTAGACTTTTGGTCAATGTTTAATTTACCATAGAGTTTTGAAATGTGCAAATCACCATAATTGTGACTGTTCATCCAAGTTGTCATATGTCAGATGTCACTTTAACATTTCCGTTGAGACCAGGAGCCATTCTGTCTCCTGCTGTTAGCCACAATGTAGCGTCGAAATAATTTTAAACTGTTTGTCCTTTGCCTAGTGTTAGTTTTTGTGTAAATGTATTAAATTTATATAACACTCATTGACGTACTAGATAGCCAACATTTTTAACGAAGTAAGGCTAAAACGTTATAAAAACATTTTTTATCGACCAATAACTTCAAGTTTTTTCGAAATTAATTAATTTTCCTTCACTTGAAAAAAGTTTCTTAACTTGTTTCAAATGTCCCTGAAGATGCTCTGAGAGCGAACGTACTTGGGCAAGATTTAATAAAAAACAGTGCTTGATATCTGTTTTTTATTTGATTCTCTCTCTCTCTCTCTCTCTCTCTCTCTCTCTCTCTCTCTCTCTCTTCAATCCTGACCCCCAGGGGGAGTGTAGTAGTCGACGTGATGTCGTGTATTGTCCGTCTCCAGAGATCGCTGTCTCTGGTCATTTCTTTTAATTCATGCATAGGTCTTTGGCATATTCCTGTAATTTGATCTATCCATCTTGTTGGGGATCTTCCTCGTGATCTTCGGCCTTCTACCTTTCCTTGTGTTATGAGTCTTTCCATGTTTTCTGTGTTTACTCTCATAACATGCCCAAAATATTTTAATTGTTGGAGATGGACTTTACTAGAGAGTCGTTGGCTAACTTTTAGCTCTCTTAAAATTGAATTATTTGTTCTACGGTCGGTCCAAGGAATTCGTAACATTCGTCTCCAACAGAACATTTCAGTGGCGTCTATCTTTCTTCTCTCCGATTGTCTCAGAGTCCAAGATTCACATCCGTAAGTCAGTATTGGGAATATTAAGCAGTTGATCAACCTCATCTTTATCGCTCTTGAAATTTGACAGTCCTTCCATATTTTGGTCATTTTTGCTGTGGCAACTTTTGCTAGATCGCATCTACGTTTAATCTCTTCTTGTAATGACCCTGTGTTTGTGATTAATGATCCCAGATATAAGTATGAGCTCACAACCTCGAACCGGTCAATTATGGTTATGTGTGGATGATTGTTGTGTAGTCTATCCACTATCATGATCTTTGTCTTTGATATGTTTAATTTCAGACCAAATATTTGACTTTCGTTTTCGATCAGTCGTATAAGTTCTATCAGCTCTGCTTGACTATTTGCAAGAAGGGCTGTGTCATCTGCGAAACGTAGGTTGTTTAGTTTATGACCATTTATTGAGATGCCCTTTTCCCATCCTTCAAGTGCTCTTCGCATAATATACTCCCCATATATGTTGAATAATTGTGGAGATAGTATACATCCTTGTCTGACATCCCGTTCTGGATGAAATTCGTTCGAAAGTGTGTCAAGTACTTTAACTGATCCAGTAGTGTGTTCATATAGTTCGGTTATAAGCGTAATTAGATGTTGTGGTACGCCTACTTCTTTTAGTATTCGCCATAAGTGTCTCCACTTGACCCTGTCGAACGCTTTACGGTAATCTATAAAACAAATGTATAGTGGGATGTTGAATTCCCTAGATTTCTCGATTACCTGTCTTATATTCAGCAGGTGTTCTCGAGTGCCTCTACCTTTGGTAAATCCAGTTTGCTCTTGTGGAATTTCTCTTTGAAGAAATGTTTTCAATCTCTCATTGATTATATGTAGCATTATCTTGCTGCTTTTATTTGATTAAAGTTCATATTTTAGAGCTTTCAACCATATATTATTTAAATGCTAGCTATAACCATTGATGGGCTCTTATTCAGAAGACAAAACTACGTTTATAGTTTTCTGTACTTTCTATACTTGAAGCTGACATCATAATTATTTACCATTGTTTTACTTATTTACTTTATTTACCATTGTTTCTTTATTCAAGACCATTGTTTTACTGTCCTTTAAATCACGTATGAAATGATTTACTATCTTAGAAAATCATGAATCAACAGAAAAATTCGGCTATTGTTGCGGATCTACGTAAAATATTATTATAGGACTGATCTTATTCCACTATTAGTAATCGTGGCACTTGTACACAGGATAATGTCCAAATTTTCAGTCAATATGAGTTTCTAACGTTTATTTAAACGTTTTAAATGTTTAGCTAGCGAACATTTAGTCGCCAATCATCTCCTACCATTTTGTGAACAATCTACAAGTTCTGTAGTCTAGTTTCTACTCTTTAATACAATTGTTAACATAAAAGTCTACCCAACACTATCTAAGTTAACTTTGATATTAGTCGGACTGAAAACTCTCATATAAAAATATTGTAGCAACAATAACCAAAGCTCTATTTGACAAAAATAGTTATTGACGACTGTAACAGAAATTTTAAGGAGTACGGTAATCTTAAGCTATGTAATATCAATACATGCAACTACTGTAAATTTTACCGAACAATGACCGCCATCTATCAATCTGATTGGGCACTTCTGGAACTTCTCCCATAAACAAAGGGAAGTAGTAAAGAAATGCGAAAAGCGTTAGTAAGGATATATTTAATAATTAATTACCTGTTGTTGGACCTGTTGCATCCAGCCACCACAGCAAATCACAAACAAATAAATTTATGTTAATTACTTTGTACTCAGGGTATTATACTAAGAAATTTTCAAGTGGCGGTATTTTTATTTCAATAATAAACTCATTGGCTAAATAATTAAATAAAACTGTTAAATAATAAATAGCAGACCAGAGCTTAAACAGTGGAGTTTCTGATAATCACACAGAAGGCCTTTGTTCGATCCCCGCAACATGCAAAACATCAAGAAATTTTTGAAAAACGAGAGGTAATAATAAACAGCTGAAGAGTGGCACTGACTCTCTTACTTTCACTGTATATCGTAGAATAAACAGCAGCAACTGCATAATTTGCAACTGTAGAATAAACTAAAAATAAACTGCACTAGCAGTATCAAGGGGGATTATTCTTATGTTAAAAAATACATCAGTTTCACATAAAACTATAAGTTAAGCAAATAGTTTATTTGCTTAACTTATAGTTTTGTGTAACTTATAGTATTTTAACAATACAAAAATAGTTTTTGGGTCCACATTCCATCAAATTTTTCATATGTGGGAACGTTCTCATCACTTGTAATATGTAATATACTTCTGAATTGATGACGAATGAATTGATGCTCCTTATCCAGAACAATTGGTACCTCGTGAATGCTATGAGTGCGATGGTGACGAAAAACAAAGGAAGACTGGAGAATGTTGTAGTAATAGAGCAATAGAGTATATGTAATCGAGAACAAATTAGGAAGTGGGTAGAGCGTAGTGAAGGCCCACGTTTTCCTCAAGGGTGATAGTTAAAGTTCCCAGAGATAAAAAACTATGTAATATAGTATAATGATAGAAAACCAGATTTATTTTAATTAGCAACTACATGGCTCTGAAAAATAACACGCCACTTAAAAATATTTGTTAAAGGAACAAATTGTTGTTAAAACGTGCACAACAATTTATTAAAAAAAAACAAAAAACATATCAAACTAAAACTAGTTTATATAAATGTCATAAATACTCAATTTAATATACTGCGCATGCAAATATATTTGTCTAAAATGAACTGTTTAATATTTAAATAAAAAACAATATCAATGCTTTTGGAATTCTATTTGTCCTCTATGCTAGAAAGTATTCTGTTCGTTTACTCAAGCTTTTATATACGTCTGCTCTTTGCACATTTCATATAAAAACTGACTCAGTTCTGTTTTTTTTATAAAAACTGAACGCTTAATTTCCATGGTTCATAAGTTGAAACTTTTGCTTCAGTTCCATCTTTTTTACAACTGCATATCTTTGTAAGGTAAATATTTTGCAAATTTTTCTATGGATGTATGCTCATTTAACTGATTTTAGATGAGTTGATGATGTGATGGATTGATATACTAAGTCTTCTTTAATAAAAGATGAAGTGGCAAGTATCCTTTCTTTTATTCTCCAAATTTTGACCGACACGCCTTAAGTATCATAGTGAATTACATATTGTAATACACTAAATCCAACATCTAAAGTTATTGAATAATTGATTTGTAAAGTTTATTCCTTAAAAAACAAAGACGTCAACATGAGGCGAGTTGAGCCATTCGAGAAGGCTTTTAGAAATAAAAATCACGATGAACTGGTAATAAAAGCTCAGTTAAGAGGTCTCGATGCATCAAGTATTAAGTATGCCTCCATCTAGAGAAGAGCCATTGCACCAAATTAAAAGAACAATTAATATATGCAGTGTGTGGTGCAATGCACATTTAAGATCACCAACAAATCTAAAACCCGAAAATTGTGGATGGACACTGAGAAGAAAAATATTATCACCATTGGTTTGATGGCACTCAGTGTCCTACATTTGATGATATATCTTCAAATATATCAGGTAATAATATTTATAGTCTTTTATATATATATATATATATATATATATATATATATATATATATATATATATATATATACTTACTATACTTACAGTCTTTTTCAAGTCTTTTTGAATAATATTTTATGCTTGTTATTTATATTTGAAATACAGTACTTGTAAAAAATCATAATCTATTATTATTTCAGATACGGAAAGTCAAAATGAAGAGAACGATGAGGACATTATTAGTTTAAATGATGAAGAGTTAAATAATAGTTCTGATGAAGAATGACAAAAAAAGTTTAATTATTTATATTTTATTGTATATTGTAAATTTTTGCATTTCACGCGAAAAATAACTGATTTTTTCATGGGGCGCTCCCGTACCATTTGATTTGTGCGCCAACTGTATTAAACATTAAATAATTATTATGTAAAAAATGAACTTTGTACTTAGTCCGACGGTTATTTATAAAATTTAAGCTTTGCGTAATATCTGAAATTTATATAGATTAAATAAATAAAAAAAATTGCCATTTTTTGTCGGCATGCAATTTGGGTACATTATATTTGTCGGACACATATTCCACTTAGTATGTAAATCTTTCACAAGTCTAATTTTTGAAGTTATACTTCTATACGCACGGTCGGCGTTGGAAATTTGCATTACAGTGAATCTGTGAAAACATTACATATGTAAGATATTGAGTAAGAGAGTGACATAAGATATATTTTCTCTCTCTTCCTCTCTCGAGCATAAAAATGTTCCTTTTGTATATATATTTAATATTATATATACCGGGTGGTGAATCGTCAGACGGGCCATAGGAAACTCAATGGGAAATTTTAAATTGTTGAATTGCTGCTTCCCTAATTATTTTAGATCAAAAGTCATAAAAGACTATTTGTGGAGGACTAAAATCTGAATTAAAAACAAATGTTAAAACCGTTCTACGAATCAAATGTACTTCAAAATTTTGCAAAAATAGATTTTTTAGACCACCCCTAGAAGTTAGGCCACACGTAATACAAGAATATAATAACGTGTGTGTTTTATCATATTGATGTCAGATTTTGACAATTTGAATTGTTATTTTTTTTGTTTTATGATTAAATTATAAGCAATGAATTTTACTAAATACTACTACTACTCAACAATATTACTTTGTGAACAATAAATTATATTATTTACAAATCGATCAATATAATGAAATGTACTCAGTTGACGAAAAATCGCATAACGTTGTATTCAGGCAATAGCGCGAACCTTTTCCTGTCACTACCAGATCTTTATTTAATATAAGATATTCTAATACACTAAAATTTAATTCCATGTTAAGTTAAGTTATACAACAATTCAATGAATTCCAATATACTGTTACTGTGATCTTTATTCCTAAAAATAATTTATGATAATTTCTAAACATAAAACTATAACAAATGTTATAATAAAACATGAATAAAACATTTTTATTATTGCTCTTTTCTCCTTAACTGAGTACATTTTTTAATCAACTTAGTAATTTTTTAAACAATAAATCACAAAACAAAAATATTGGCCATTTAAATCATAGATAAATATAATATAGTTGATTTAAATATTGTCAAATATTAGAAACGTCAATATGACAAAACGCAACACGTAATACACATTTTTTTCACGACGTCTGGCCCGACTTTTAGGGGTGGCCTGAAAAATGTATTATATTTTAGCAAAATTTTGGAATACGTTTAAGTCGTAGAACAATTTTAACAACTGTTTTCGATACATATTTGAGTCCTCTACAAATAGTTTCCCATGACTTTTGGTGTAAAATAATTAGGGAAGCAGGAATTCAACAAGTTAGAATTTCCCATTGAGTTTCCTATGGCCCGTTTGACGATTCACCACCCTGTATAATATTATGTATATATATATATATATATATATATATATATATATATATATATATATATATTGATAAAGTTGTATTTTATTAATTTTATTTTTTATTTATAATAAATGTAATTTGTCACTGTGTGACGTCGACTCTGTAGTCTCCTGGTAGAGTTCAAAAAAAATTAAACCAAAATTTACTTTAGACCTTTGATAAATTAACCCAAATGAAGCACGTTATTTATTAATATTGAACAAATTTAATATAAACAATAAAATTCGTCTGCAACTTCGGTTGCCTTTAAAAATTTACAAAAATAGGAATCGTTTAAGTCTTAACGTGGTTTAGTGACATGACAATAAAATTGTATTACAAAATGTGGATACTCTCTACAAGTACCTAAAAACTAAATAAATATTGCAACTTTATAAAGTGTTTAAATGAACTATAAAGAAAAAGAAAATGAACACTTTATTCCGCTGACTATTCAAATATAATCAAAATTTCAAATGATCCCCAAAATTATTGTCCAACCTCACTTTAAAACAGTTCTGATTTCTTTAAAGGAAACTAACTACTCAAAAATAATCGGTGAAACTGGAATATCAATCCTCTCTTCGGAAGTTAAGGTACGTACTATTCTATTTTTAATTTAATGATCATTAATAATTTCAATTTTTAAGGCCTATCGCAATTATGTTAATTCATGAATTTTAATTTTCTCAATTTAAATGACATTTCTATACTCCAATATAATTTATAAGTGAAATTGTTTCTCTTACTCTCTGGAACAAATTTCTGGATATCTCTGCTGTGGAAACTGTGGAAAAACTAAATTCTAATTAGACGAGTTAAAAAACACTCCCGACCTATTCCACAGTTTCAGGGCTCTCCTTCGTCCAAAAAAACCTCGTCGGCGTCCTCTCCAAAAACCAATTCCCATTTTTTTATCCGTTGCTAACAGCAACCAACGTTCTTTTTTTTTCTGTCTTCTATTTAAATATTTTAAACCATAAAACTGTCCTGTTTGACATATTTGTCAAGCCACATTACTTTCTCATAATCACTTTAATCACATATAATTTGGGAATTTACAAAAAAAAATGTTTAGATATAAAACTTATTCTATTACAATACTAATTTATTCTTTTCATCTCCACATCATTGTAATTTCTTATTTAACAAAACCCCTATTAATTTAGCTCCCACAGACTGTCAAATAAACTGTCAAGCAGTTTATTTTCTGACGTTTATTAAAATTTCTATGTTTAAATATTTTTTTAAAATTCTTATTTTTTTGTTCTTTTTAAGGTTTAGACGATTCACCTATACACTAGGCAACTATACTATTCAGAAATTATTAACACTATACCAGGTAAGTCAAAATTAATTTATTTAACAATTTACTAATCTTTTTCTCTCTTTTATTTCAGAGTCGAACCCACATTGTGATGGCTTCATGAAATTCATAAACAACAAACTCATATAAAAATCCATTAAAGTTGTATATATTTTAACATATTGAAATCATTTCAATATATATATATATATATATATATATATATATATATATATATATATATATATATATATATATATATATATAATATTTGACCGAGAACTGTCAGTTTTGAAATCCTTACAAAATAAAAAATAAATTTTACTGCAGAGTATGTGTAAAAAAAATTTCCTTTTATACATATATGAAAATAAAAATATATATTTTCATTAAAACATTGATACAATCCTTTATTTACTATACTCCTATTACAGGTCGAATGTTTATATACAGCAAACGATGCACCATATACCTATATAACTAATTCTTTTTCTCTTTCTGCTCTCTCTCTTACCTATAGCATTACATATGTAATGATTGTGCAGATTGACTCCCATATAAATTTGTAACGGCGAATGCGTGTATAGAAGTATAACTTCTACCGGCAGTCCCACTGGACTGCCACACCCGTGTTTTTTTTTGTCCAACAATTATTAATAAATTTCCACAGACTCGTGGAAAGCCTATTTTCACTGTCGGACGAATAAATCGGCGAGTACATTTTGTCGGCCAATGTAAAAATAGTATTTTTCACGTTATTTTTGAACGAGACATGAAAATCAGCTTATTTTACTAAAACAACTACAAGTTGTTTTTTTTTGGCATGTTTAGTCTGGTGGACTCCGTTATGGAACCAAAATTTTTTTCGGACAAGATTTTTTTCGGATATTTCACGAAGTTGACTTTTGTATCCATTAAACAGCAATACGTTATTAATAAATTTGATACATCACTTCAAAATGACCACTTTTGGATAAGCTGGAGAGAACAAGCACCCGGCACAGAAAGTGAATAAATCGGCGAGTACATTTTGTCGGCCAATGTAAAAATAGTATTTTTCACGTTATTTTTGAACGAGACATGAAAATCAGCTTATTTTACTAAAACAACTACAAGTTGTTTTTTTTTGGCATGTTTAGTCTGGTGGACTCCGTTATGGAACCAAAATTTTTTTCGGACAAGATTTTTTTCGGATATTTCACGAAGTTGACTTTTGTATTCATTAAACAGCAATACGTTATTAATAAATTTGATACATCACTTCAAAATGACCACTTTTGGATAAGCTGGAGAGAACAAGCACCCGGCACAGAAAGTATCCCAAGAGATATTTGGGGGTTGAGGTCTTATAAAGCTATCCTAAAAATTGTAGCCTGTTATGTATGAGTGATACAGTATGTCGCCTGTCACCTAGACTATACGGGTTTGTTACCCATTTTTCTTCATTAAGTAAGATGAGTGTGCTCTGTGCTTTTGACGTATAATTCATACTCGTTGATCCCAACATATAGTGGTCTTAAGAGTTTCTTCTTATAAGAGATGGTAATAGAGTGTTCTTGAGATTTCCCCCAGATAAGAGATGTTAATAGTTCATTGAAAACCGGAGGAAAAGGGAAGTAGAAGGCGAATGTAGTACGAGCAATAGATTCTACTATTCTACAGAATAGAAGAAACATCCAATATTACATTTTCTCTTATGATATTCTTTTAAGTATCCAAATTTTTATTCACTATACTTAAGCTCCTGTCGAGTTCCCTTTTCATGATGCAGTCCAGTGGTAGTCGTATACATCTTTAAGCACAAACAACAATGTTCAAAAAATACTCGAAGCATTGCTAGGTGCAGCAAATGTAAAGCTAATGTGGCTACTGTTAGATGATACGGAAATAAAAAAAAAACTAAATAACTACAGAATACAACAAAAATATGGTTCTAAGATGTGACTGAAGTAGTTACGAAAAAAAAGCAGTAATAATTTTTTATAGTTTCTTTAGCGATTTACTTTATTTGGCGATCTTTTATCAAAAATATTATCTTTATTGTAATGATTTTCATTGTAGAATATTATATTTTTATTAAATACTTTTCTCACTACTTATTGATTAATGGTGATTCATTATTCCTATAAAACGATATGATATTGACCTAATTCTTACTGAATGGGTAATAAAATGACTAATATAGGAAGATTACTTAGTTTGTTTTTTTTTTCAGTTTAAATTCACTCCATTAATAAATATTTAGTTTTTGTAAAAAATGTTAAAACAATAATTTTCGCCATGTCTTTTGGTTACACTTAAAATATAAAGTTGCACATATAGCAAAATTTAGTTAATTACATACATTAGCGACATATAAAAATCTGCTGTTTATATTCGTATAGAACGGTTACATATATTTGAGACAAACGTAAAAACATCATCTAGAAATGGTGTACCTAATAAATAGTAGTTAATTTATACCCAGATAAATGATGCTTCAAAAGAATCACATTTATGTTTGCATTTAACCTTAGGCTGTTTCAAAATAGTGTTCAAGTTCATGTTTCTCTGTATTTACAAAAATATGGATTTTTTTAGTATTAATTTCGTATTATTTATACCTACTTACTTTCCTTGTACTGTAATTCAGTACTAACATTTTTTCATCGGTTCACAAAGCCTCTTACCGCATTCGTCACAAATATGTGTAACCAAACAATAACAGAACAATGCGTTAATTTTTGAATTAGGAATTATTCACGTTAGTTAATCAAATGTCGCAAACCATCTTCCAATAATTTTTGGAACTTGAAAGAAATACATAACTATTGCGGTTAGGGTTTTTTACTTGTAGTACTTGCACACTGAGGCATTGTAAAACAATTATAGAACTTAGATTTCATCTTTTTTTCTTAGACTTAGACTTAGATTTCCAATTATTTGGAACCTATGATGTCACAGCGGTCACATGACAAGTATTGTTTTTTTGGCCCGAAATTTTGAATAAAAAATAAATTATTTTTAAAGTATTAGTATTAATAAAAGATAACAATATTTTGGGCAATATTAGGTACAGCTACGGTCACTGATTAGTTTACATCTTGTTTTTACATTGTAAGACTGTAAAATCGAAGTGTCGTACGGATTTGCTAAATGTCAATGTGATTCTCAAAAATTTCACGCGTATTGAGTCCAAAATGCATAGACTGCATTTAAATCACGCACAACAAACAAGATTAATTGCCAAACTCGAAGAACAGCAAAAACTTCTTTCTATAATTTCCATTTTGTTACATTTTGTAACCTAGATTTATTTTATTCTGTCCGGGTCCGCCACTGGTAACGTCACTTTGACGTAAAATGTGCATTTAAACGGGGTAAAAATTCAAAAAATTAGATACTAGATATGTAAGGGTGTAAACTATTCAATGACCGCAGCTGTACTTAAGCAAGGTTTTAAACAAATCTCAAAAATAGGCAACATTCCTGTTCACTCATTAAAACGCACGACCTCATAAGTTCAATATCTATTACTGGACTCGTCTTGTATTTGATGGACCTTAAATACCTAATTCAAGAATTAACGCATTGTAAAAATGCCTATAACATTGTAATTATCGGCGAATATTTTCGCAGAAGTTGTTCATACTTCAAAGTTGTTCATACTTCAAACACCTTAAAGCAAGTAATTTACAGCGGTTATTATATATTAACAACACGTACCTGAATTCTTCTGTATCTGTAGATAACTCCTGCTCGATTTGAAGAAATACTTGAAGCATCTCGCTAATAATTATCGGCCATAGAGAAGTAACGTGTAATGGACTCATTCTAATTAAAATTACTCTAAAGCACATAAAAACTTGCGCTTGCACTCCCGGAACGCTTAACCTCAAGCTGCTCGTCAATTGTTCTAGAATTATTAATGAAGAAATAAATAAGTTTATGATTTAATACACACCTATACATAAATTTAAATGCACATAAGAAAAAAAAGATAAATTACTATACAAAATGTTTGCTTGTGTTGGAACTTTGTCGATGGAATTGGTGTACCACTATTTATCGTTGCCACAAGATCATTTCATAAGAATTATTTTACTTAATCTATATACAGTACAACATTAGTACTAGAAAGTCCAAATTAACTATATTTAAACTATATTCCAGTCAAATCTACCGACAGAATAAACAGAAGTCACCGCGTGATATTCGAGTCTGCACGTGACGCGCACCTTGCTATTGGCCACAAGTTAGTGATCCATTTTAGTCATATCGGTTGGGCTAACAGGCATGCACTTTGTTTTTCCGCTCCGTCAAATGACGAGTCCCAGTAGTTAGTTGTGCAAAGCTGTTGGTTTGTTGATTTGTTAGTCGCTATGGTGCAAATATTTTTTTAAGAACTTAATAACTTAATGCAATAAGTATAATTAAGCATTTATAAGCGTTAATTCTGAAAATGCACATTTTGTTATTTTAGTTGGAAAAGTATAATAATTACATTTATTAAAAATATCTGATACGGTGTCTGCGGATGAAAACGAGCAATTTTGAGCTTCTAGGAAAAAAGTTTAAAAAATCACATAGTTATAAGAACCAAACAAATAATGGTTAATATGTACATACAAGAGTGAACTACAAGATAATCCTACTTTAGCGTTAACGGACATTCAACAAAGAGACCTACAAAACTCTGAAACAATGATGTCAGTATAAACAGTTTAAAGAAAATGATAGGATGACGGAGGACTAAGACTAAAATGATACAGTTAGTAAAAGTAAAAATGTTGACATAAAAATTAGTATATCTTTACAAACCTTGGATATCTGGCATATATTTGGCATATTGATCCATCTCACTACAAAATATAACATAAGCTAATCGTTTCAATAATTGTGCTTTCTGTTCATATTCCTGTTCTCTCGAGGAGAATATATTTAAACTTCCACTTTGATTCATTGATACTCTGTCTGAAAGAGAAGAAAAGTTTTTTTTTTATTTTAACATACAATCCACATCAACCACGCAGGGTTATTAGTGGAGTAACATACACAAGAATTCATTTTATTTACATTAAATAGATGTATATAAACGTAAATCTTTTAAATAATTTATTATATGGTCAGTGTTTATGGTTAATGTGGTTTTGATGTCATCAGAGATTCCATATTTTCTTCTTGCTTCTTCGTTGTACTGGCAGTCAATCAGAATATGCTTCACCGTCAATGGGAGAGAACAGTTTCTGCAGGTTGGAGAAGATTCTTTGTTGATTAAGAATTTATGGGTCAGTGCAGTGTGTCCAATTCTTAGTCGGTTAATTATTACTTGGTCCCTTCTATTGGATGGATTATTCAAGATGGTCTTCACAAGGGGATAAATCTCATATAGTTTGGTTCCTGAATCTTTCCAGTAGTCTTGCCATATGTTCATACAGTGGTCTTTAATAAGGTTTTTGAGATCGGAGTATGGGTAATTTCTTGATTTGTTTGTGTATTGTGAGTTTATTCGACTTGTGTTTGCTAGGCTATCCACTTTTTCATTTCCAGCTATTCCTACATGCGACGGTACCCAGATAAATGCTACTTCTTTTCGATTTGATTGAATTATATTTATCTCATTTTTTATAGCCCGAAATATTGGATTTGTAGGGTATATTTGTTTTATACCTAATAGAGCATTTAATGAGTCAGTGATGATGACACATTTATTCTCACTGTTTAAATTCAAATATGGTTGTATAAATTAATCAAGACATTTTGTCCTCCCCCTGTATACCTTCGATCCCTATTCGTACCGTTCGGGTATGCTATGCATCCCGTAGGACAGAAGCGCTTAAGTCGTTGAGCAGAATAGACGCAAGACACAACCCTCGCGAGTGCGTCGATGCATCGAAATCGGTTGGTTTTATAGTAGTGAATTATGGTACCTAATTAGCGGTTCGGTAAGTTCACCTAGTTTAATACCTGTGTTTGTTTTTGATTGTTTTTGCAACCATTTAAATTTTATATTATTTGTTATTTACACCTATGAGTGAAAGTTCATTTATCTTGCCAGAGCTATCGAAGGAATAGCTGGTATTAATCTTAGTACTATTAATTCGTAATAGTACATTATTTTGTTAAACCCCCACATTGGCCTATCTCGCCGAATTTGAACTCATTTGTTGAAAAAAAATATTTTGTTATATTATAAATTTGAATGGTTGGTTTCGTCTTATGTCGTATTTTTTTATCGTTTTGAGGGTTGATTAAGTTGCGTCTCTTGTCGAAAGCTATTAACTTCGAGACCCGAGAATAATTTATGACCTTTTAAAGTGCACCATATGGGATTTTTTAAAAGGAGATTATAGTCGTTTTAATAAAGTATCGAATTTCAAATCATTAATTTCGAGCATTTCGGGGTTTTAGACAACATTTTTGTACATTTTTCGTTTGTATATTATTGGAATTTATTAGACATTGGCAATGGACAAGTTAGAAGAGAAAAACAGAAAGCTCAAATTTATGAGAAAGACTGTTTTAAACGATATGCAAATAATATTCGATTTGGGTTTTAAATCGCTCTCGGATATTTCGATCCGACCTTTATTTAAAATCAGGGTGGAAGAATTAGATTTAATACGCGATGAATTCTTGAAACACCACACAAATATAATTAGTAATATTCTTGCTGTACCAGACGCGGATACGAGGGTCGAAGAAAATGTTCGGGAATTATTTTTGGAACAATTTTATAAAATAAAATTATTTAGTGCGGAGTTATTTGAGCCACAATGTGAAACTCCAGAACCGTTTAGGTCGGTAGTAGTTCCAAAATCTAACATTCGCTTGCCTAAAATAGAACTGCCTAAATTTAACGGTGATTTTAAGGAGTTTAGTTCGTTTTTAGATTTATATAATTCGGTTGTACATAATAACGCAGGACTAGCAGAAGTAGAAAAGTTTAAGTATTTGAAAGGATGTTTAGAAGGGACTCCACTTAGTTTGATTCGTAATTTGCCAATAAATAGCGATAATTATCAAATTGCTTACGATTTAATTGTTAAACGCTACACAAATGTTCGTCGGTGTGCGACCGCGCATTGGGATGCGATCATGGGCGTGCCGAAAATATCGTTAGTTAATTCGAAAAATCTGGCTAAATTAGTAGACACGTTTTTAGAAAATTTAGCCGCATTGAAAACATTAGGCCTTCCGACAGAACATTGGGACTTTATTATGTTTAATTTACTTTTGTCGAAACTAGACGCGGATTCAGTAAAATTATTTGAATTAGAAAATAAATCGAATAAAATCCCGTCATTTCAAAAATTAGTTGAGTTTATTGAAACTCAGTACATTGCTTACGATAATTTGAATAGTAGCGTAAGCGAATCTAAGAAGTCGTCGCGGGCCCCAACTTATACGGAGCCTAAGGGTAATTATAAACATTCGAATGAGTCTAGGCATAATCGTAGTTCATCCTTTGTTACAAATTCGTCATTAGTAAGCTGTGCTTTATGTAAGCAAAGTCATTTTCTAAACCAGTGCTCGTTGTTTTTGAAGAAATCTCCAAAAGAGAGATACCAATTTTGTAAAGAATCTTCCTCGTGTTTTAGATGTCTTAATCAGGCTAATCATTCTGTCAAGTCGTGTCCAAAGTCCTTTAAATGTAGTAAATGTAATAGTCACCTTCATAATAGTTTGCTGCACTTCGATAGAAATCGTTCCAATAGTCAGTCGTCCACAGAAAATACTAATAATCCAGGGGCATCGGGAGTCGAACAGAATTCGCCTGAAATATCACATTGTGCTGCTAGTTTTGTAGGGAGGAAAAACGAAACAAAAAAGGAAATCTTGCTCGGTACCGTTTGGGTTCATGCAATTGATAGTAAGGGGTGTAAACAGCCCTTGAGATGTCTTTTAGATTCGGGTTCAATGAGTTCGTTCATTAGTCGAAAAGCTGCCAGTAGATTAGGTTGGCCTAAAACTCCTTGTTCGTTTGAAGTTAACGGACTCAATTCGATGCAAACGAAGCTGAATCAAGGTCAAATAAGTTTTTCTATCCAACCTCGTCATCAGGAGTCACCGGTGTTTCACTTGGAAGCTGTTATTACAGATCGGGTTTGCTCGGATTTGCCGAGCACCAAAATTGACATATCGACGTGGAATTATATCAAAAATTTAAAGTTAGCCGATCCCGAATTTAACTGTAGTCAATCTATTGATTTGTTAATTGGTTGTAGCATATTTTCGAAGGTGTTGTTAGAAGGTAAAATTGAAGGTAAAGCGGGACAACCTGATGCCCTAAATACCGTTTTTGGATATATTTTGTTAGGACCTACTAGCACACCTAATCTTTCGTCGACTTCGCTTGTTTGTCTTTCAAATATTGAAGACCCATTAGATTCTTCATTATCGAAATTTTGGGAACTGGAAAACATACCGGAAAAGCCAGTTTCAGAACCAGAAGACGCTCTGTGCGAAAACATTTATCGGGAAACACATAATCGGGACGTCTCAGGTAAATATGTCGTGTCTTTGCCTTTTCGTGAATCGCCGCCTTGTTTGCAAGATAGCTATGATATTGCTTTAAATAGACTGCTATCATTAGAACGTCGTTTATCTCGTCAACCAAGTTTGAAAAAAGAATATTCTTTTCATATGCAGGAGTATCTTGATTTAGGTCATATGCAGTTAGTCCCTAATGCCGAAAAGAAAAGGGGAAAGTATTACATTCCACATCATTGCGTTGTGAAACCAGATAGTGTTTCAAATAAAATTCGAGTTGTGTATAATGCGTCTCAGAAAAGTCCCAGTCTTGGCAAATCTTTGAACGAATATTTACTGGTCGGTCCTAAGCTACAACAGAACATAGTCTCGCTTTTGTTAAATTTTAGACTTAATCGTTTTGCGTTGTGTGCGGACATTCGTCAGATGTATCGCAATATTTTAATCGCTCTTGAACACACGGATTATCAACGCGTGTTATGGAGATTTTCTAGCCTTGAGGAAATTCAGGAATATCGTTTATTAACTGTTACTTTTGGAATAGTATCTTCGCCGTATCTTGCTTTAAGAACCCTTCAACAATTAGCATTAGACGAAGGCTCTCGTTTTCCTAAAGCCGTCTCGCTTATTCGTCATGCTTCGTATATTGATGATTTTGTTTTTGGTGCTTCGACTCTCGAAGAAGCACAAACTTTAATTGACGAATTAGTTACTTTGTTAAAGTTAGGAGGCTTTGAGTTACGGAAATGGTGTTCGAATGAACCCAAATTGTTGTCGCAATTTCCTGAATCCCATATTAATCCTCATGCCATTAATTTTGATCCAGAAGCAAATGGTCCTTCATTAAAAATCCTTGGTTTGAAGTGGATTGCACAGTCCGACGTCTTTCAATTTTCAGTCAAATTGCAAGACGTCCCTTGTACCAAAAGATCGTTTTTGTCCGAACTAGCTCGAATTTATGATCCTTGTGGTTACCTAACACCTATTACGTTTTTCATTAAACATTTAATCCAACAACTTTGGGCAACCGGTCTTAAATGGGATGATCGCCCTCCTTCGGAAATAATTCGTGTATGGGAACAATATAAGAGCGAATTATCTCTTATTTCACAATTCAAAATTCCTCGTTTTTTGAATATTTCTTCATGTCCCATCTTAGAGCTTCATGGATTTGCCGATGCTAGTGAAAAGGGATATGCTTGTGTCGTTTACATTCGTAGTATTGATACTCGTAACCTAGTTCAAGTCAATTTACTGTGTGCCAAATCGAAAGTAGCTCCTATAAAACAGATTACTATACCTCGATTAGAATTGTTAGCTGCTGTTCATTTGGTAAAACTTATGTCGTTTGTGTTAGAGTCGTGGAAGCATATAATATTTCAAAATGTGTATGCTTGGTTAGATTCTCAAATCGTATTGCACTGGATTAAAAGTTCCCCCTCGAGATTCAAAACTTTCGTCGCAAATCGCATTTCGTATAT